TCTTATTATGCCCTCTTTATCAGCAAGTCAGAGCCAACCTTTTCACTCAGCTTTCACTGGTCTTAGGAAACCAAATTCTAAATAGCAAAATAAATTCTAATCCACAATTTAACCTTCGCCCCAGTGGGGGGCGGGGGGGGCATATGTTACCACCCTGTCGCATTTTTTTTTGCGTGTGAATAAAAAACCGCGGCGCGTGGCGCCGCGCCGCTTGGAGTAGCTTTTAACTTATATCTCGGATTTTTTATATCCGTGACCTAAGGTCAGACCAGTGCACAGTGGGGATTTTTCCGATCTAGCGCGTCTTTATTCGTATACGAATGACAGGCGTAAATTCTACATGTATAATTTACGCCTGTCATCCTATTCCTAATGAATGTGTCTCAGAAAATATGCATCATATACATCAATAAGTAAAATTATTCGCCTATGTCTGGAACATACTTATATCGTGCTGTTTGCCCTAGCGCTCCTAGAGTGGGGTATTAAAGGGACCCTCCCACCTTAACATTAGTTTTGAGTTGAGATAGCCAAGTTTGCGGCCAGGCTCAGAAACCACCATTTATCCTGGTCGCAACCCCCGCAGCTTTATGGTGTTCAAGAAATTTCTTCCCTTTACTTGCAGGGTGGGACCAGCGTGGTCCCTATCTCTTAACCATTACGGGAGTCTGATGACGTCATCAGGCTTTCGAACGTCCGTTAAATGTTTGACTAAAACGTTTTGTAGCACGCGGTGGTATATGCTGCTTTGCGCGCAACAAATGCCGCCCTTTCAAATAAAGTCGCTAGGAACAGCGGAGATCCCAAAAAGTAAACAAAAGTAAAAGTCTAATTTCTTGAAAACCGGTGAATATTTTTCGATGAAATTTGGTAGATATTCGTTTTTGCTCTTTCTGAACCGAGCGACATCACTTTCATGCCAATTCATTAACTTTTTTGAAGGTGGGAGGGTCCCTTTAAGATACTCTATTGCGAATATTCCGTGTTAAAGCAAGTTTCGGCAGCCAAACTAGGCGTTGTCTTGTGCAGGAGAGAGTGGCGAATTCGCTAGGATATGTTTCGGAGTGGAAAAGTGTGGAAAACATTGTTGATGTCCTACATTTATCTAGAATACCATTCCTTCAATACAATACAATACAATACAATTGGTGGTATATACAATACAATGCAACAATATGGTGTCTGTAAGGTTTTTTTTTGTAAATGACATTTTTGTGACCTTTGTAAGGTTGTGGGCTGTGGCATACTTTCTGTTTGCCATTCCATTCCTAATAAAAGTATCTTTCAGAAAATATGCAACTTTAAGACCTCGCAAGAATAAAACCAACAGGACAGGACAATAAAATTGAGCTATACTTTCGGGCCTTACTGAGCCCATTGAGTAAGCACGCATGAACTATGGGCGCATTTTTCCTAGTCTTGCTGTGGACATACAGATAAAACAATGCCATATATGAAAAATTCACACATTTCTTAGCCCCACTGACAGAAAAAAATAAACAAATAACAAAAAAAGATTTTTTGGAATTAAGACGCGCTAGATCGGAAAAATCCCCACTGTGCAGTGGCGTGACCTTACCATTATAAGTCAATGGAGAAAAATGAAAATGCCTCTAGATCCGTGTGTACGCATAGGAACAGTCCAAATATTTCAGAATCACAATGATTTGGACCACCAACCAGGGACCAAGGTGTCTTTTTCGCTGATAGCCTCTAGAAAGGTAATCCGAGGGCATTTGAGGCTACAGATTTTGCCAATAACTCTCGATTGGAAAGAGATAGAACGCTGGGGATGGCCTCATTGTGTTTGTCTTGTTAAGACGCATCGACTGATATGCAACATGACCTTTTCCGGTCAGGTCATGACCTTGACCTGAGGTCAAATTTTCAAGTTGACCTTTCAAGGTCAAATTATAATTCATTCGAGGCGTCTTGGCGAGAGGAACACGATTCTGGCAATAGAAATGTCGTGTTTTTTTTTAGTCAAAAGTTATTGTCAAAAAGCACATTTCGTAAAAACAGCTATTTTTGGAGTTTTTGCCCTCTGGAGGCTAAACCGTTGACCTGAGGTCAATTTTGATAATGACCTTATCAAAAGAAGAATTCAAAAGCTGTCGATTGCTTTTCAATACGTTTTTCTAGCTATCATAGTTCTTGAGATAAATGCATGTTTTCTGAGAAATATTGTGACATTTGGCAAATTTTGACCTTTGATGACCTCCAGTGACCCCAATATTGCTCTAAGATGAAAAATGACCGAAATACTTTCAAACGTACGCAATGAGAGCGCTATCGACTGCTTTTTACCGCGTCTTTCTAGCCCTCTTAGTTTTTGAGTTAGAGGTGGGTGGTAACATATGCCCCCCCCCCCCACTAGGGCGAAGTTGGCTGAGACCGCCACTGGGGCGCGGGTTAATTTGCATGCTTTAAACTTTATGTTAGCGATGGTCTGACATCATATAACGAGCCTGGCTCAAATTTGTCACGAATTTTCGTTTTTTTTTAGTTTTTAGTTTTTTTTTTCGAGCGGGTCCACGACGCGCGCGCCTCCGCGCTGCCCGCCGTGGACCCGCTCCGGGAGTTTGCCGGGGCCGCCGTCCCCACTCCCCAGTCGACTCCGCAACACGGCACCGGGTGGCGCGCGGGTGCGTATTATTTAGGCCAGGGTTCATAATGTCCAGGGTACGATGTGTCCAGTGCTCGAAATGGCCAGTGCCTTGAATTGGCCAGTGTTCATATTGTCCAGGGTTTGCATGGTCCAAATGTGGCCAACTGGCTGCAGATAGGGTAAATTCAAAGAGGCCAGGGTTCATAATGTCCAGGGCACGATGTGTCCAGTGCTCGAAATGGCCAGGGTTCATAATGTCCAGGGCACGATGTGTCCAGTGTTCGAAATGGCCAGGGTTCATAATGTCCAGGGCACGATGTGTCCAGTGTTCAAAATGGCCAGTGCCTTGAATTGGCCAGAGTTCATAGTGTCCAGGGATTACACAGTCAACCAAACCAAACCAAACCTAACCTAACCTAACCTAACCTAACCTAACCTAACCTAACCTAACCTAACCTAAGGTAATGATGTTTGCCTACCGGGGATAAGGAAATAGTTTCTCGCATGAATAGATTGCAAGCAATAGTAAATCAAATATTTTTAGGTTAAGTGGTTATGCATAACCACTTAACCTAAAAATATTTGATTTACTATTGCCTGTAATCTCTCCTAAGGCATTGCCTTCGGCACTGCACTGCTTCGCATTGAGCTGGTTCCGTGTTTTTACGTAATGACGTCACTTTCAATGACTATGTAATCCCTGGACATTATGAACTCTGACCCATTCAAGGCACTGGCCATTTTGAACACTGGACACATCGTTCCCTGGACATTATGAACCCTGGCCATTTCGAACACTGGACACATCGTGTCCTGGACACTATGAACGGGCTGAAGCCTGATGCATAACCACTTAACCTAAAAATATTTGATTTACTATTGCCTGTAATCTCTCCTAAGGCATTGCCTTCGGCACTGCACTGCTTCGCATTGAGCTGGTTCCGTGTTTTTACGTAATGACGTCACTTTCAATGACTATGTAATCCCTGGACATTATGAACTCTGGCCCATTCAAGGCACTGGCCATTTTGAACACTGGACACATCGTTCCCTGGACATTATGAACCCTGGCCATTTCGAACACTGGACATATCGTGTCCTGGACATTATGAACCCTGGCCATTTCGAACACTGGACACATCGTGCCCTGGACATTATGAACCCTGGCCTCTTTGAATATACCCTATCTGCAGCCAGTTGGCCGCATTTGGACCATGCAATCCCTGGACATTATGAATTCTGGCCTATTCAAGGCACTGGCCATTTCGACACTGGGCATATCGTACCCTGGACATTATGAACCCTGGCCAGAATGAATGTTCCCCGCGGCGGGGGCGGCACCATGATCGCCCCCCCCCCGCGCCGACCGGGGCCAAGCCAGCAGTCGGGAGCGCGGCGCCGGCGTCTTCTGCGGGCTGTGCTCCAGTACCAGAGCCGAGCTGGGCCACTCCGAGCCGCCCTGGAGGAGCGCTAGCCGCAGTGAACCAACTCTGCACCGGACCATGAGCAGCACCCGGACGCGAGCGCCATCATCTGCCTCCTGGACTCTGCAGACGGTGGACGCGGGGCCAGCGGCACGGCGAGCCAGCTGGGAGGCAGCAAACGTCGATAATTTTTACTCTCACCTGACCTGTGACGTCATCGGTGACCTCGAGGTCAATTAAATTAGTCGCCGTCCAAATTTTGACAATTGGCACGGTAGTTTCGGAGTTTGGAGGGGGGTTATGAAGAGCCCCCCCCCCGTGGGGCGCGTTACAGTACATATCCCAGTCACCGCTGCACTGTGGCGCGGGTTGAGCGGTTCATGAGTTATTCCAGAAAAATGGGGGGGTGTAGGGTCTTCCCCCCTCTCCTCAGATGATCGCGGGTTAAATGCCATAATACCGTGGTAATATCACGTGATGTCGGGTCACCGGACCAGTGCTGCCGCCTGGCGGTGACACGACCCGGGTACGACCGGCTCGCGGAGCGGGCCGGGAATCGCTCGCTGACTATTGAGCCGCGCGGAGCTGCGATTACGTTTTTGCTTTTGTATCGTTGTTCGTTGTTATTGTTAAACATTTGCTGCAAGACAGTACAAATACCGCATTGATTTATTATCACCATACTCACTGTCTAGTTTTCGCTACAAGTTCCTATCCCCCCCCTCCCGCTGTCCATTCCTCTCCTCTGACCACCGCCCCGACGAGTGCTCGATGAATTGTCGCCCACTGTGGGCTGCTGAGCGCGCTGGCCGCTGGCCGCTGGCCGCTGGGGGTCAGCACTCAGCAGCCGGCGGGAGCAGGCGCCGTCTGCAGCCGTGGGGCGCCCTCCCCCTCCCCCCGGTGGCGTTTCGTCACAGACCGCGGTGGGCTGAGCAGCGAGCGGCCTGAGCGCGCCCCTCTCACTCCCCAGTCCATGCCGCGGCGCCGGGGAGGTGGTGCCGGCACGCTCCGCCAGCCGACAGCCACCGCTCGAGTCTGGACTGCAGTGGCCAGCAGCGCAGTGCTGAGCGGCGCGGCGCCCGTGTCAGTGTGAGCCGCACCGACCGGGCGCGGCCAGACGCAGCGGCGGCCGGGCGCCCGTTCAAACTGGGCGCCATACCGACCGACCGGTCTGAGCCGCCCCCGCCCCCGCCCGACTGCCGCTGACCAGTGACTAACGTTCCGCGAACTGGGCCGGCCGCGGCGGCGCGCAGCACGCCGGCCGGCACGTGCGGGCACGCCGGTGAGCTATCAGTGCTGCGGGCCGGGCTATCGGCCGGCGGCCGGCGGCGGCGGCGCGGGGGCGCGGGGTCGGCCGCAGTCGGCCCGACCGCGGTGACGGGAGAGCAGCACCGGCGGCGGCGAGCACGGCACCAGGTGAGCCCACTGCCCACTGCCCACCGCCCAGTCACCACCGGACCCGGCCCCCTCCTCCCTCTCTCCACCTGCGCCCTGTTCCTCGTCTCTCTCCTCTCCTCTCCTCTCTCTCCTCCCTCCTCCCCTCCCTCTCCTCCCTCTCTCTCTCCGTCTCTCTCTCTCTCTCTCTCTCTCTCTCTCTCTCTCTCTCTCTAACTCTCTCTCTCTCTCTCTCTCTCTCTAACTCTCTCTCTCTCTCTCTCTCTCTCTCTCTCTCTCTCTCTCTCTCTCTCTCTCTCTCTCTCTCGGCTTTTTGCCGGCCGGCGCGGCGGTCTCCGACTGAGACGGCCTGCACTGATGGCCGGCGCGCCGCGGCCCTCGCAGCTGGACTGAGCTGACAGCGCCCCCGTCACGACCGCCGCGGCAAGAAGTCGTGCAAAACATCGGGTTAAATCGGAGAGAGAGAGAGAGAGAGAGAGAGAGAGAGAGAGAGAGAGAGAGAGAGAGAGAGAGAGAGAGAGAGAGAGAGAGAGAGAGAGAGAGGGAGGGAGCAAGTCCAGGCGGCAGGCCGCTAAGATAAAAAACATATTGTTACGGTGAATGTTCCAGGAGCGACATGGACAGAGGAGAGGGACGATTCCTTGAATCAGCCTGTGGCTCCTCGTTTGTTTGCTGCCTCCCAGTCGTGTCTTCTACTATAGTTGTAGTGAAGTGTAGCGTGTCCACTCATATCGGCCTGCATTAGCTGTTCGCGCACCTGGTCTGACCCGGTGGGGCTCTCGATCGGCAGACGACGAATGGTGAGCTGGTGGCCGGCTGACTGGCCAGTGTCACTGAGCGCGCCGAATGGTGAGCTGGTGGCCGGCTGACTGGCCAGTGTCACTGAGCGCCGAGTCACTTAGTGTCACTGAGGCCAGTGTCACTGAGCGCCGCGTGTCGCGAGGCTCAAACAAACAGACGTGGCTGCCGGACCGGGTTGGGGGGGTGGGGTGGCGGCCGCGCCGGCCCGGAGTGGGCGGGCGCCGCGCCGGGCCGGGCCGGGCCGCGTACCGTCTCAGGCTGGAGGCTGCACTTGCAGCGGCCCGTGCTGCGGTTACACAGTGACGCGCTCTGACCCTGACATCCAGTGTCCGGTGTAAACCCTCCGGACTGACTGCCTCGGTAACCGGACGGTCCGGACGGTCCGGACGGCCGGACGGTCCGAGCGGTCCGGCATGGGTTTAGTTGGGCCCGTGGCTCGGCCAGTCGTCGATTGTTGGAGGGCTGGCCGGTGTCTGCCCCTTACCCGTAATTGGTGGTGATGTGATGTAGGGGGGGGGGGGAGGGGTCGCTTTATTGTTTTGAACGTCAATTTTTGACGTCATGGATAGTTACTCCGTTGCATGAGATGGACAATGGACATCAATAGAGCTCAGCATTCTAGTTACTTTGTAGGTTTTTATTTTTGTTCCGGCGCCTATACGGTCGGGTGGTGGGCGGCTGCACCTCGGCCCCATAACGCGGCTAGCTGACAGAGGCTCTCAGAGTCCCAGTTCCATTTCCGAATGGGATTTCTGAATACCAACGGCATTTGCCAGACCTGAAGAAAATGCTCACCAAACCTGGATTGTTTGGCCTCCATGTCACTCCATGTCACTCAAACCAAGCTAAAAAGGCAGCTATGCGCTCCGCCACTACTGAACAGTGAACAGTGTAGGCGCGCTCCAGCCTACGGTTGGGGTGCATTGGAGTGCAGTGGGATGCAGCCGGGATGTAGCAGGGGTACAGCCGGTGACCCGACCCGACCCGACCCGTGTGCCCTCCGGCGGACCGGGGCGACAGGGGACCCTTGGTGAGCCGGCGGACCGGGGCGGCAGAGGAGCCAGGGTGAGCCGGCGGACCGGGGCGGCAGAGGAGCCAGGGTGATTGGTGAGCCGGCGGACCGGGGCGACAGGGGACCCTTGGTGAGCCGGCGGACCGGGGCGGCAGAGGATTGGTGAGGTGATTGGTGAGCCGGCGGACCGGGGCGGCAGAGGAGCCAGGGTGAGCCGGCGGACCGGGGCGACAGAGGAGCCAGGGTGATTGGTGAGCTGGCGGACCGGGGCGACAGGGGACCCGTGGTGAGCCGGCGGACCGGGGCGGCAGAGGAGCCAGGGTGATTGGTGAGCCGGCGGACCGGGGCGGCGGGGGACCCGTGGTGAGCCGGCGGACCGGGGCGACAGGGGAGCCAGGGTGATTGGTGAGCTGGCGGACCGGGGCGGCAGGGGAGCCAGGGTGATTGGTGAGCTGGCGGACCGGGGCGGCAGAGGAGCCAGGGTGAGCCGGCGGACCGGGGCGGCAGAGGAGCCAGGGTGATTGGTGAGCCGGCGGACCGGGGCGGCAGGGGACCCGTGGTGAGCCGGCGGACCGGGGCGGCAGAGGAGCCAGGGTGATTGGTGAGCCGGCGGACCGGGGCGGCGGGGGACCCGTGGTGAGCTGGCGGACCGGGGCGGCAGAGGAGCCAGGGTGATTGGTGAGCCGGCGGACCGGGGCGGCAGAGGAGCCAGGGTGATTGGTGAGCTGGCGGACCGGGGCGGCAGAGGAGCCAGGGTGAGCCGGCGGACCGGGGCGGCAGAGGAGCCAGGGTGAGCCGGCGGACCGGGCGGCAGAGGACCCGTGGTGAGCCGGCGGACCGGGGCGGCAGAGGACCCGTGGTGAGCCGGCGGACCGGGGCGGCAGAGGACCCGTGGTGAGCCGGCGGACCGGGGCGGCAGAGGACCCGTGGTGAGCCGGCGGACCGGGGCGGCAGAGGACCCGTGGTGAGCTGGCGGACCGGGGCGGCAGAGGAGCCAGGGTGAGCCGGCGGACCGGGGCGGCAGAGGAGCCAGGGTGATTGGTTAGCTGGCGGACCGGGGCGGCGGGGGACCCGTGGTGAGCCGGCGGACCGGGGCGGCAGAGGAGCCAGGGTGATTGGTGAGCCGGCGGACCGGGGCGGCAGGGGACCCAGGGTGAGCTGGCGGACCGGGGCGACAGGGGAGCCAGGGTGAGCCGGCGGACCGGGGCGACAGGGGAGCCAGGGTGAGCCGGCGGACCGGGGCGACAGGGGAGCCAGGGTGATTGGTGAGCCGGCGGACCGGGGCGACAGGGGAGCCAGGGTGATTGGTGAGCTGGCGGACCGGGGCGGCAGGGGACCCAGGGTGAGCTGGCGGACCGGGGCGACAGGGGAGCCAGGGTGAGCCGGCGGACCGGGGCGACAGGGGAGCCAGGGTGAGCCGGCGGACCGGGGCGACAGGGGAGCCAGGGTGAGCCGGCGGACCGGGGCGACAGGGGAGCCAGGGTGAGCCGGCGGACCGGGGCGACAGGGGAGCCAGGGTGAGCCGGCGGACCGGGGCGGCAGGGGAGCCAGGGTGAGCCGGCGGACCGGGGCGACAGGGGAGCCAGGGTGAGCCGGCGGACCGGGGCGGCAGAGGAGCCAGGGTGAGCCGGCGGACCGGGGCGACAGGGGAGCCAGGGTGATTGGTGAGCTGGCGGACCGGGGCGACAGGGGACCCTTGGTGAGCCGGCGGACCGGGGCGGCAGAGGAGCCAGGGTGATTGGTGAGCTGGCGGACCGGGGCGGCCGCTGAGTCACACCGACAGTCGAAAATCAATTCCCTGACTCACGGCGGCGACAGCGAGTGGGCCGCGGCCGTGCAGCGCGCTGTCGGCCTGTCGGTGACACCTGAGGGCGGCGCGCCCTTGTCGCCCCCGACAGTGCGCCGCACACGGTGCAGCGGCGCGCCCCTGCCGCCCCCGACAGTGCGCCCCTGCCGCCCCCGACAGTGCGCCCCTGTCGCCCCCGACAGTGCGCCGCACACGGTGCAGCGGCGCGGCTGTGCAGTGCACAGCTCTCGGGACCTGGGGGTCGGCTGTGCAGCGCACAGCTCTCGGGAGCTGGGGGTCGGCTGTGCAGCGCACAGCTCTCGGGACCTGGGGGGCGGCTGTGCAGTGCACAGCTCGGGACCTGGTGAGCGGCTCCCCGGCCGAGCAGCGGGCGCGCTGCACCCGGACACGTCCGTGTTCGCCGACACTAGCATGAGGGCTCCTGTAGCTACGCTGTACCCCCCCCTCCCCGTTCCCTCCTATTACACCGGCTGGTGGCAGAGCGGTTTGTCGCTTACCTTCCTACGTCAGCTCAGTGTCCATTGAATGAAGCAAGTTGGGCATTGCAAGTTGTGCCGCAAATCAGCCACTCTGAAAATATTCCCGAGACCAAGCGCTAGCTTACGGTATTATTTTGTGCAATTGAATTCCAACCGCGTATTCGAAACACGACGCTACATGTAGTGGACCGGTACATGCTGATACCGTTTTTACGTATTTTACCCTACCTCGCGGCGGAAGTTGGTAAAATCTTCTTGCCATCTGACCTACCCAGGACGGGAGGGGGACACTTTGGTTCCACTGTTGACAAGGTGTTCCGCCACCTTGTCCAGATATATACCTACTCTCAGTTCTCACTTCTCATCTGCTCGGGCCTCGGGCCGTCCGGTGGGGACGTTTTCGGTATACCGAACGCCACAGGTGCTAGAGGGTCGCCCTCCAGGGGAGGGGAGGGGAGGGGAGGACCGGCGCGGTGGGGGCGTTTTCGTATACCGAACGTCACAGGTGCTGGAGGGTCGCCCTCCAGGGGAGGGGAGGGGAGGGGAGGGGAGGACCTCAGCGCACCCCTCTGTTCTAACTCCTGGCGTAGAAAGGGATCCCGAGTCTGTGAGGCAGTTTGTTCAGGGGCGGACCTAAAGAGGGAAGGGGGGGGGGGTGGAGCGTGGTAGTTAGTCCTGGCTCATGAGGGATCCAGACAGGTGTCCGTGTATAGATTCATTGACAAACCTTGAGGTGAAACCATTCTGTATCCAGAGATCATAACTAAGATGAATGCATATTCCAGGGAGAGATCCAGAGATTCAGAGATGGGCCCAAATGGGGCGCTGATTCAGACCGTTGCCAGGTGGGATCCCTTCCTGCAGCTCCGGGTCGGTGGCGGGCGGAGCACGCCGCTCGTCTGGTCTCACTCACACCATTTCT